GAAAAAGCATAACAATTTTAAAACACAAGCCCTGGTTTAAAAAAAAAAAATCCATGGAACATTGCAGCCTTCACTGTAATTGAATTACAATGAGAGGCTTAAGAAAATCCTGGAGTAATAAGTCTGTCTGTCATGGTTGCCCTCCTGCTGATAACAGTTGGTAGCCTTTAGTGCTAGGAAAGAATGGCCACAAATAGGAAGTACGGTGAAATGTAAGATGCTTGACCAGGACTTTATATTAAGGATGCAAAAGTATAAGAGAAATTCCCTCTGTGGAGTGTGAATGCCCTTTCCCCTAGACCTGTATGTAGGATTCACATCCACCATGCTAGTACTTACTGAAAATTATAAGGTCTAATTACCTGGTGTAGGCGAGGAGGACAAAGGTGTAAAGGTAATTTCAGGGAACTTTCATAAGCTCCCTTCTGCCCCTTCCCCTCCCCCGGATGGAGAGACATATCTAAAAAAGCAGAGAAGCCAAGTGTTCTCCCTGTCAATGGTCAACCCAGAAAGTTGGGGCTTGCCAATGCCCTAGCCACACGCCACATGTCGCACAGAAGGATAAGAAGATAGGAGCTTCTAGTCGTAGGTTTATATCGTCACACTGCTGCCCAGTACAAAGGAACTTCTCGTGGCTAGATCAGCCATGCTTAAGGCTGATTTGCACATAGCTACCTAAATGGGGCCAAAGGTCTTGCTCACAGAACATAACAGGCATGAATCATGAAGCTGGATGTTCATGTAGCATCAAGAATAGATAAAGAACACTTGTTCCGTGGCTATGTAGGAGCTGTCTTTATTTCCCAAGCTGAATTTGGATTATATCTATATCTATGCTATAGCTATATATAATTTACCTTCTGGAGCCGGTCTGCTAACATTACTTTGATGTCATTATGCCTTCAAGGCAGGATTTCCATTATTATGGAGATGAACTGCCTTTAATGACTACAATAATATAATTGTACCCCAGGGCAGAATTCCTAATAACACAATTGCATAGCTCTCAAACACCAGTAAGAGATACCTCCAGGGCAGGTTATTCATTAAGGGCATTGTACACAGTAGCTCTGCCTCCAGAGAAGAATATGAAACCTAAAGCCATAAAGTTCTTTTCCAAGATAGACTCTGCCTTCTGGGCAAACATCTAACATCACACTTAGTTCTGCCTCCTGGACAGAAGTGGCCTCCAGAACAGGATTCCCAGCAGCACAATACAATGTATGTTATTTCTGCCTCTAGATATTATACCTTAATATTACAATCTGTTTGCAAAGTCACAAGATCCCCGAGGGGAGAGCCCAAATGATTGCCATGCTATCAAACAGCCTTCAGAGTAGAATTCAAAGCATTCTGGGGACCTGTTAGACTGACACTGCTTTTCATTCCTCTTGGAACTGGATGGATTGTCCCAACCAATTAACTTCTACGGCATCAGAATTGAGGTGTAGTTTGGAGAAGTCTCCACAAGTTCAGGTGGTTATCTAAAGCTCAAGAGCTTGCAGTGTTGGCTAGGCTGGCAATCTGTTGGAAATGTGTGTTTCACAACCCACCTGAAACTTGTGCTTCCTGTCCTGGGTGAACTAATTAAAACTAACCAGGTGCCTATCCCAAGTGGTGATGTTGGGGGTGGCGGGGAGGCTCATGAAACTATGTCAGCACCAGCAGCAGCTATTGTTGATATATTTTTTCACAGATTTCAAGAGATTTTATCAGGGATATCCACGATTGTCTGGCACAGCAGGACATAACCCTCGCAGGAAACATGTTGCCAGTGCACCCCACCCTCTGACTTTGTGCATGGTATCCAGTTGATGGGACATTTACTGCAGACCTTCTTCATTTCAAAATCCTGGGATAATGATCCAGCACTTAGACAAAGAAGAGGTTCTTGAAGTGTGTGCTCCTAGAACTATTCTTAGATTCCCATGACCCCTCTAAGCCAAGGGTGGTCAACCGGGGGTACTTGAGAAAGTCCTAGGGGGTAGGCGGGAATGTAGCGCCGCCACGCACAATCCCACGCTTCCATGCAGGAGCCACTCACCTGGCTGGATGCAGGGGGCAGGGGAAGCTTCCACACGGCGGTTGCCGCTGCTCTGCATCCAGCTGTGTGATACCCCAGCCCTCCACGTTTGGTCAAGTGCCAGCCTCCCCTCCTCCCTGCTCCACGTCTGGGGATACATTATTCCACGCCCAGCTGCTGGGGGTATACTGCTCCACAGCCGGCCACTGGAAGGGCTACAGTGATCCAAGAAGGTTGAAAACACCTTCTCTAAGCTATCTACTCTGCCAAACACCCAACTTGAGCATGCATGGTGCAGGAGTCATGATTGGTGTTTGCCTGGGTTCAGCAGAGACAGGGTATACACGCCTTCGGAGACCGAAAAGGGGGGCAGCTAGTTTCTTAACTGTGACAAATGATATGGAAGATGACAGAAGAAAGAAGGCAAGGAGAAGAAAAATGTCTTCACATTTCAGGAATTTTTTAAAAAGCATGGTTTGAGTTTCATTCTAAAACTAAATACAGTGTGCCCACGAGAGCTTTTCTGTTACTTCCAAACAGAAGCAGGTACCTCTGCTTACAGGATGGCAGGCAGGTTATAATGTATGTGTAGCAATACACCAGTATGGAAAATTTAGAAGGAAAATCATTATCCTGATAAAGTATTAGCTGGGAGAAATAACTGAAAGAATTATAATTCAATTTGGGCCACATAAACAAAATAAAAAATAAACCTGCTGATATCTTGCCTCAGTTCTTGCATTAGTTATTATCTTCTTGTTATTTTTTCATGATTGTATCTGCCTTTTGCTTAGTGCCTCCAGTGAACATGAGTTACTTATGTGCAACAGATGCGATATTGTGATTTGTTCACAGTCCTATGAATCAGTAGCTAACACACTGTAGTTAATCTGTGTCTTGCTTAACTTTTCATTGTTTTTTTCTCTCGCTAAAAGCCAAATTATCAAAGTGACCACACACATTCAAGGAATACAAATTAAGTTAAATGGTATCTTTTTAAATAAGTACCACACCAATACCTACTAAGTCAAAATATTGAGGGAGACGGTTGGTGAGTAAAATAAAAGTGCAAAGTATTCCATTGTTATCAGTATCCACAGTAGCGGTAGTACAGCTAGGTGAACAAAAAGCCAATCTGAAGCACTGAACTTCTAAAACTTACCCCTCTATCCCAATTTAAAATGAGGCGGAAACAAGGTTGTGAAATGCCAAAGCAAAAAAAGGTACACTTTGGATACCGACGAATGCAAGAACTGTGAATTCATAGTTCGGAGGTAAGTAACAATTTCATTACAACCCTTGTCAAAAGAATGAGATGCTTAATTTTAGACTAAATATATTCTTGAAAAAACATGAACATAACTCTAACCTGGAATGTCTACATGAGATGCTTTACTACACGGGAGTCTAATTTGCTGTGTAGTAAAGGATCATCATTTACACATGTGCGGCAACTAGGGCGCAGTAGACTAATTTACTGTGCTGCTATCAGATACAAGTGGTATCTGGCAGTGCAGTAAATGACTGTGTTTAAATGCAGATGTAGACAGTGATGTCAGGATTAGTCTACTTTGGCTCAAATTGAGCCGGAGTATATTCAGTCACATTAATTGCACATGTAGACGTGGCCCACCTAGTACTAGCCTCAAAGAAGTTGTACTAATTGGCGTAATCATAGGTAAAGACCAAAGTCTGCAGTGCTTGCTTGGGTAAAACCTAATCTGACTTTAACAGGAGGTTTTTTACCTCAATAATGACAACTATTTAGCTCATTTAGGGCTAGGTACAGACATTCAAAAAGCCCAAGGTGGAATTGATCTAAGTTACATGGTTTTCTGTAAGCGGTGTAGCTTAGACTGGTCTAAAGTGGATCAAAATAACTACTCAAATAGGCCAGGCCAAGAAGTCAAAACCAACACTCACAGTACAATAGCTTTATAAAGGCCAGAGTCTACTAAATGATGAGCTGCTTCATTCCTCAAATCAATGGGAAATAAGGATGCTCAGTACTTCACAGATGGTGTTCAGCATTTTTCTGGATCTGGTCCTAAATGAACTATAGATTTTGATATACCGTATTCCTATTGAAAATATTCAAATGATTATTTAAGGCAAGAAGTTTTGATAAAACAAGTATAGGATTAGACTCTCCAGTGAACTTTTAAAAATAACCTTTCAGCACTTCAGTGGTTGCTGATTTTCTATCCCTGATATAATTAGAAATATCACAAAATTATGGGAGAAGTCATTCTTGTGGCATATCAGACATATGAAGGCAAGTGGAACTAAAAGCTTTGGATATAAATATGGTATTTCGATTTCATTTAAAGTAATTCAATAAATACAGAACTAAAAGTCTGTATCAACTTTCATTTGCAAAAAGAAAAAAAGGTTGTAGAATAGCAGGTATTTGCTAGTATGATATATAATGCCAAGTAAATACTAACACAGAAGAGCATGTTTTAAATGTCATTGCACAAAGGTAAAGCCTAGGTTAAGTCTTGTTAAAAATTGCATTGGGAAAATAAAGTGATTTGGCCAGTCAGAAAGTACCCATCTCCAAGTCAGAGAGTACGATTGCCAAATTAATTACTGACCCCAAATAATTGCCGTTTGCTGGGAGATTGAATAATTTACAAGGGCATAGTCATTTGCACTAGAGTATTTCAGGACTATTATCTCCTGGGAATAAAAATTTGAAAAACAATGGCTATTTGGAGCAATTCAAAGGCAAAAGATTTGCTGATCAGTATGCATCTGTACCAGGCCCTTGACACAGGTGTTTTAACTAACTGTCTGCAGAGATTGCCATGAATAGAAACCTTGCCCCCCCAGCTTGAATGATGAAACATTAACTTTTTTCACATTTATTGGCAAGCTAATTTCAGAAACCTATTAATGACATTTTAACGTTCATTTCTGAAAGCCCTTGGGTTGGAGCAGGCTAATGAAAATAATAGTTACTTTAAGATATTACCTCTCATTTTCTCTTAGGATCTCTCTTCCTTTCTTCCAGGTATAAGTAGGTCTGGGGGAAGCTTTTGGCTTACACTCTATGGTTACTTCACCTCCCGCTTTAACAAGAGTCACCTTTTTCAAGAGGGTTTTGGAAAAATCTGGACCCACAGCTGAAAAAGAAAGTAGAAACCTCTTGTAATTCTTTCTGAAAAGAACCACTCGTCAGATTTTTTGGCCTTCAGAACACTCCTGTGTATTGTCTTACCAACTCACACTTTTATCTTCCAAACCAACAATAGCATCTATGCAAACCTAGTGATGGGAAAAGCAGATATACGAGCGCTCAAGAGCTTCAGTGACTTTGAAATGAGTGCTCAGTAGAAAAAAACTCACTATCAATGAGACTTAGATATGAGGGACTCGATACCCAGCTGGGGCCTTCCTGATTTACCCCAAGTAGGAATCAGGACTCATTTTTTAACTATTTTAAAGAAGTCCTGCATTATTACTTGAGTTACCATTTAGCATAACAGACTGTCTGTTAAATAATGTTCACCAGTTTCCAGAATGGGGCTGAATCATGGAACAGATATCATAAATACTATAGTTAACATGCAGAGCAAGTTTTTTGGGGGGGAAAAAAAAAATCAACTGTACGAGTCTGTAATACCTAGAAAAAAGGGTGAGGTTAGAAAGAACAAGACAATAAAGTCCTCATATTACCTTCACATTGTTATACATAGCACATGCATATAGAACATAAGTCACTTCTGTAACTACAAACTACTGTAAATCATCCATATCAATATTGGCTAAAATACAATACAAATATAAATTCAAAATAACAGTTTTACACAGCAGGAAGAATTCCACAGTACATGCTTTCTTTGGTACTTTTCAATAGCTATGCTGCAGTTTCTCAGCCAACTTTTAATGGCTGTGACACCTGTTTATCATGCATTTAAGTCTATTACTATCTTTGGCAGCGGTAGAACCCTTCTTTTCTCATATGTCAGTGATTACATCTTATTTAGCATGAAGGTGACGCCAGTGGAAAATGCATAATCCCCCTAATTTCCTTCTCGGTCACCATTCATTTTCTTGTTTTCAAAGAACTCCATCTTGCAATTTAGGCAAACCTGGTCACTGAACTGCATTTTGGCCAAAAGCAGTGCTTTCTTTCTTTTTTCTCCCCCAGTGCATATGGTTCTGGGAATAAGCTCAAAGATCTGTCTTGGCTCTGAAGACTTATGTCACCAAGATACTTCAGGAGAGCTGTAGATCACTGTGTACCATATTTGCCTGATGCTACATGCAATGATCTAAGCTCTCATGAAGTAGTTGGATGACACAAAACTGCAGCACGGACCATAGGGAAAATTCAGTTTTCTTACAGTGCCTAGTCTGACACCAAATTTCTCTTCCCTCCACTCAGCCTCCTTACTTGGAAAGAATGCAGTGTAGTGAATAATCCCACACTGACAACAGGATGAGCTATATGACCTAATAGATCTCTTCCATCCCTAGTTTCTGTGAATCTTTGAGTCCACTAATCTCTGAGCTGTCTTGCCTTCTACATCTAATCACAGATGGATGGTTTCATTTTAGCATAGAGAAAAAGTGCATTAAGAGAGAGTAAAAAAGCAGCACTGAAAAACAGTATTGGAGCCTAACTTTTCCACAAAAAAAGAGAGACCTAATGAGCACTGTCCTCCACAATAGTATATTCTGGGGCTGCACGAAATAGAATAATATTAATGATCATTTTGCTTAGAATTTATCCTTTTTTTTCTTTTGAACAGGAATGCACGAACCAATCTTTGCATATATCTGTTATTCACAGTGTTTGTTGCTTAGTTTAGACCAGTGGTTCTCAACTTCTTTAGGATTCAAGGCACCCCTCAGAAAATACCAGCTGGTAGTTTTCACTCTTTTTTTTTTTTTTTTTGACTAGGAGAAGATACTAGGGAAGTTTTCTGTTGCGAACAACTCAGACCACAGCTTTGGATTTCTATTTGAAATCTCTGGGTTTATCTTGTGAATCATGTTTGCATATCTAACAGTGCTAATGTGTGAAACCCTTGAAAGGATCGCAAGGCACACCCTGGTTGAAAATCATTGGCTTAGACAAATAATTCTTAGACTAAGGTTTCTTAGCAAGCTCTTCACATTTATTCTTCCGGTTTAATGGTTGCTAGATGATATTGTTTTTGTTGCCTGAACAGAACATTTGTATGGGACAACACATCTGTAATTTTTAATGGCAAAAGTATGAATCTCACAATTGTAGTATCATTACTTATGGAGTATGAGGGGGATGGAAGGGAAAAGAACCTGAACCTCCTATTTTAATTTGTATGCCAGCACGCAGTACTGTGCAAGAGCCTGACCACTTGTGAATAACAGGTAACGTAACTCTTGGAAACACAGCAGAATTTATGGCTTGCATTTCCAAATACACGAGTAAAACAGATTTTTCAGAATTCAGCAAGTTCTGCTCCATAATGCATTTGTCTGGAACAAAGAACGTTTGGTGTAGAGACAGAAAAAGGGTCAGTCCTTTACCATCACGGAGACTTTACATCTCTAATGGGAGCAAGACAGCACACTGCTGGAAAGCAAAGATCAAGTATTAAAGTTTCGAAGTGCACGGACTTAAACTATACAGGCAGCAGCCTAAGAATGGGTTGTCAATGCCAAACCTAAGTGCTCGGATACAAACTGACATTTTCATCATATTTTCCACTTTCATTTAAACTTGAAAATGGCAGAATGGTCTTGTGGTTAAAGCTGCATACTGAAGCCTGGGTGAAAGTTTCAGAATTACCAAGGCCTCCCTGTGCGACCCAGTCGTTTCATGTCATTTCTTTCTGCCTCATTTGCAAAATAAGTATTGTTCCTTTCATCCACCCATTGTTTGCCTTAGCTCCTAAGAGGGAAAGCTCTTCAAGGCAGTGATTGCATTTTACTGTGGGTTTGTGCAGGGTCTGACACAGTGGGGTCCTGATTCGGCAGAGGCCTCTAAGCAATGTTGTAAGTAACAATAACAATAAATAATCAGCCTGAGAAAAGCTCTTGCTATAATTTCTCATTTGTTGTTTTCATTTAATTTTGCTGTCGGCTTCATTTGGTATTAGTGGTATTTAATCATTTCAAGTGCTTAACATCACAGCCCTTTAACATAACTGATTTTACAGCAGGAAAGATTTGCTAGGAAAGTTAAGATTTCTCAGTGGGAGCTGCTAGTTCCTTTGACAAACCGACCATTTATTTAGATGCCTAAGTGCGAGCTGTGCCGAACGTGTGAGTGTGGAGACCTTTCAAAAATCCCAGCCAAACACACAGCTCCCAAAATAAACAGGGACTCCACATAAGGTTGCCAGCTAGACACAGTAGCCATCCTTAAAAAAAGAAAAGAGGCTTGTTGCTTACACCACCAATTATAAAATAACTATAATCCAGCTTTTTAAGGGTTCCCATTAGGGAATGCACATGTGTTTGCACAGTGCAAAGATATCTCCTGGTTTAGCTGGCAGGTTTTTAAGGCTAAGTGTTTTAAGGTCTTTAGCTAGGTAGGTAGAAGGGAGAAGTGACCCTCTTTTACTTCCTCTTTCACTTCTGAAATGCAGGAAGCATTGTGGAAAATGCAGGAAATGTTGTATGCAGTGGCACCACACTCTTACTGCTTCCTGGTTACATGAGGCTGTGATGCAATGGGATCCAATGCAGAGTCAGGACAAAGAGTGGATACTACCTCACAGGCACAGGCCTGACGCTGGAGTAAGGATTTGTTGAGCGGAGAAAAAGGGGTTTCAAAATGCAGTGCTTGAAAAGAGGCTGATTCCTCTTTTTAGTTCCTTGAAGATAAAATGCCTATCTAAAGGGAGCAACTGCAGCATCCTGCTTCCCTCCAGGTTTCCAGAGTGGGAAGGGGTTTCACTGCCCAGCTTTCCTCCCCCATTTCAGGAGAGGATGCTTTCTTTCCTCTCTGCTTCACCTTGGGGCTCTGGTCAGAATCATTCACCAGCTGCCCATTTCAAAGGTGCTGCAGCCATGACCTGGAGATGGGAAAGTGACTCCACGTTATTGTTTGCACACTTGATCTTACCCCCATGGTGTACTGGCATGTTTTCAGCTGCCAACGAAGCAAAGAGGTCATTCTGACTCCCTACAACAACTGCAGCTCAAACACAAAAGAAAAGCTAAGACTCTATTTTAAGATAAGCCTTTGCCTCCAAACAAGGTGCATTTATGCAGTGGTTTTCGAATAGCCTGGAAAAGCATCAATGGGTTTATTAGGATTTCTTTTATGTGGTAGGTAACATGCCCAATAAATCTTACTATTCTGCAGCCTAATTTGTTGAACATTATTGTACTTTCCTTGAGCAGCAACAACGACAATTTTTCAGATGAAAATGTGCCTTTTCCCCCTCCTCCCATGTAGGCATGTATATTGGTTGATAAAAGATGACCTACATTGAAAATGTGATATGCAGAAAACACCTTGCTCTTCAGGACAAAACAAACAAAACAATATTATTGAACATTTTCTCTGAAAATAACTAAGCCAATATTGTTTAATCACAAACTGTAATTCTCTCTTTGAAATCTTACACAAAATCTGACCTCTTTATTGGTTCCCAGTTTTATCTTCCATACAAAGGCTGTAGTGAGTAACTTCAGCGTGCACATCAGATGGAGAAGGAAAGGGAGAATGGCTTTCTAATTCAAAGCAGAACTGAGGGCATTTGCAGATGTGCTCCAGGAGTTGGAGGGAGGGGGTGGGGCATGGGGGTCTTTTAATTAGAGTGCCTCTGAGAGCTGCTCTAATTAAAGCACCCGGGGCATCACGTGTATCGGCATCCCTGGGCGGAAAAATGGCAGCAGGGGTGCTTTAACTAAAGCCTGTTGAACAAGCTTTATTTAAAGTGCCCCCTCCACCATTTTTCAGCACGGGGTTGCTGATACATGTGACA